TCTTTCCCTTTCACTATTTTATTTTATTTTATTTTAAATGGAATGTTGAAGTATTAGGTGGCAGAGGATAACAAAGAAGTTGCAATAAAGAGTTTATGGCCTGGCTCCATGGCCTAGTGGTTGACAGCATCAGATCCCACATGGTTGGCTGTGTAGTTTAACTCCCAGGCCCAGCAGTTTGGGGAACCCTGGAGGCACTTGTGTGTATGTGCTCAAAATTGTTACTTTTTATGAAAATTAACATGAAAATACTCAATTGGCTTAAATAACATGATGATAAAGTTAATGATGGGAACCAGCAGTTAGCGTAATGGCTATGTCGCTGGACTCCCACGTATCGACCACGGTTCGCGTCCCGGACCCGGTGGCTTAAAACTCACGCCTGGCGCATGTGCGTGCGTACCCAAGATTCCGAGAGGAGAATGGAGGAGAAGGGATTGCGGCGTGACCATCCCCCTGGGGGGTGATTTCTCACTTTCTGTCTCTCTGTCTCTCTCTGTCTGGCGAGCGCACGTGCCCTATAGCAAAAATCTCTCAAAAAAAAATTATAAAAAAAAAGCTAATGATGAACTATCTATACACATCATGCCATGTTACATGCAACATAATTTCCTAAAGCATAATCACTATTCCCTACCATATAACATTAAATATTACAGATAAGGGACCAGCTGTTAGTGTGATGGCTATGTCGCTGGAGTCCCATGCAGTTGACCGCGGTTCACGTCCTGGACCCGGTGGCTTAAAACTCATGCCGGGCGTGTGTGCATGAGTGCCCAAGATCCCAAGAGAATGGAGGAGAAGGGATTGCGGCGTGGCCATCCCCGTGGGGGGAGTGATTTCTCACTTTCTGTCTCTCTGTCTCTCTCTGCCTGGCGAGCGTAAGCGCCCTATGGCAAAAACCTCTCCAAAAAAAAAATTACAGATCAGCCTGACAGAAACCATCAGAATGCAATATGATCTCCTATGCTCTATCATGGTTTATTACAAGTCCTTTTTATAAACTGGCTTGGAAAGGTTTTTCTAATTTTGAATAATATGCTTTGGTTTTAATATTAGGTTTTATTATCGTGAGCATTCAATATTGGCCACAGTGACTTAACAAATTTTTATTACTAGGATCCTGATTTTATTTGATTTCTTTTAAAACAAAATAAAAGCTAATACCCAAAGAAAGTAAGAAAAATGAATCACCATGAGCCTTAAAGAATAGTTTCATGAAACAGAGGGACAAAATTTCAGGTGTCTACTTTCTGTTCTGAAACAATTCTTTCTAGAATTGTTTTTTAAAAATTCTTTTAAGAAAGTTTAATCAAATCACATTTACCAATTTACAGAAAGAATAAAAATACATCTCATAAACCTGAAGCATATTAAACTCCTACGTTTCAATAGAAGTAAAAATTATGTAAGTGAGGCTAATTCTGGAAATTAGCAAAACAATTTGAAATTATTTTATACTTCCAGAATGAATTCACTTTTTAAAGAATCTTTCATTTCACTTTTATTATTATTATTATTTGACCAGAAAGAGAGAGAGTGAGAAAAAAAAGGGAAATGAAAAAAGCAAGTTGCCAGGTCTGGGACTCGAACTGTAGTTGGCAATGTGGGAGTCCAGTGCTCCAACCATCACAGTACCTGCTGGCCCCATGAATTTAATTTTTAAAATAGTATTACTGTATTGGTTCTAATTTTATTTCAAGATTTTGTTTTTGAACACTAAAACTGGAAAAAATAGAAATTGTTTTGAAGATTATTGGAAAATAAACCATGTAATTATGATCACTTGAGTATGAGTATATATTTTCTTTCTTTAATTTCAGTAAAAGTATAACCATGCTAATTTGGTAAATATAAGTTAATATGCAGAACTTTGAAAAGTTCAGACCTTAATAAACACCTTTAAAAAACTTATGCGGTTATCAGAAAAGTCATGACGTTATCTTCCTATGTTTTTCTATGCAAAAATGCATCATGATTTTTCCGATGATTCAATAGTTCACAGCAGTAAAGCAGTTGTTAATGAATAACAAAGGTAATAATGAGGTTTTTGTTTACTTGTTTTGTTAACTATACTCTATATTATAAACAGATGTTCTTTTACAAGAATGATCAGTATATCTTATAAGTAAGTTTCAAAATTATTTTGGCTACCTTGTACAGATTTTTTTCATATATCGAAAGTATCTACCCCAAGATGGCATTTCAAAATTTTGAAACACATACAGTTAGGGACCAGCAGGTGGGCTGTTAAGGTGCTGAATTTCCACATGGCTGACAGCAGTTCAAGTCCCGGACCTGGAGGCTTGAAAATCACAGAGGGCATGTGTGCTCATATGCCCAAAAATTCCAGGAGGAGAATGAGGAGGAAATTATAGCATGACTATTTGCCTTGGGTGGTGGTGGTGGGGGGGGTTGCTCATTTTCCCTTTCTCTCTCTCTCTCTCTGGCAAGCACAAGTGCCCTATAAGGGAGATCCAAGTCAAAACCACAATGAGATATCATGTAACCCCCATCAAAATGGCTAAGATTTTTTAAAAAAGAAAAAGAAGGTTAAGTGCTGGTGAGGCTAGAGTGAAAAGGAAACTCTAATTCTCCTGCAATACTGGAGGGAATGGAATGTAAGTTAGTACAACCACTATGGAGAATAATATGAAGGTTCCTCAAAGACCCACAAACAAAACTACGACATGACCCAATAATTCCACTCCTGGTATTTACCCAAACGTAGATAGGAAGAATAGGAATATATTCAGTTGGAAATGTACTTCCACATCCATGTTTATTACCCGATTATTGACAACTGCTAAAACATGAAATCAACCCAAATGTCCCAGAGCAGATGAATGAACTAAAAAAAAGTGGCACATATACACTACAGAAAACTATGCACCAAAATACAATGAGACCTTGGCATCTGATGGAAAGTGTACAAATATGGAAGATTTAATGCTGAGTGAAGCAAGCCAGACTATGAAAGAAAAGCACTGTATATCCCCACTTAATATATACCAAAGTCTGCACTCTATGACAGAAACTGAAAAACTGGAAGGTATAAAGAAATGGAGAGCAACTATTGATAGCAGAGACAGTGCAGAAGGAGGGTGGAAAATGGGGTGGGAGGTGGCAGGAAGGGAATCAAGAGAAAATGATTACATTTTACAGATGGAGAAACCTATAGCCTCAGAGACATTGAGAGACTTGTCTAATGTAGTAAGTCAAATAACAGGTATAACCATTAGATCTGTTTAGTTTTCCAAATATAATTTATTATCCTACATGAAGATATCACTATCATTATATACACCCTTAGGGGATAGAATAAAAGGAAGTATGCTGTTTTCAAATTTAATAACTAAATAGTTACTTTTTAATTTTATTAAAAATCTCTTAACTATGAAACAATACTGAAAAGTTGTTTATACTCTTTAAAGTCTATTATTTTCTTTTTCTTTTTTTTTTTTTTTTGGGAGT